GTTTTCAGGATGTGTCTTGCAGTGGCTGCATGAACATCTTACTAGTAGAGGTGCCAGTCCTTACAAATATGCAAGTGCCATTCACAACCCTGTGTGTTCCTATGCTGTTTGCATGAGATGCCATATTTACATCTACACTGGTAGATTTGTTTCCTTCTATTACCCAATACTAAGAGGGGGGGAGTGCTTAACTATTTTAAAACTTGTTGTACATGAACTGTGCATTCAGTTTAAAAAGATGACAGAAAAATATTTCTAAATATTTACAGTAATTGAACTTGTATGCATTGGAGATTTCTATTCCTACATTGATCCCACTCAGCATCTTTGGATATATTGCTACTAAACTACACTTTAATATTGCTTGGGATAGGAAATTCAATACATAGTCATCTAAATATATTCCTTCTCTTGGTTTTCTCAGAATGCCCTTTATCTCCTTCCTTTTAAAAAGAACTGACCCCTCACTTCTATGATAGTAGTGCAGCATCAGCTACACAATAATACTTAATATATCATCAAATAATACATAATTAAGACTTTTGCTCTGGCACGATGCAACAAGCTAGCATTTAGTTTCTCAGTTCATCTTACTACAGTTGTGTAGCTCTTTCAAAATGTTAGAACACACTGGGAATATTTACATCTGTAAAACAGTAAAGGATAAACAGATGGTTTTTAAGCCACTAGGCTTGGGATCCAAAGAACTATTTAGGATGCAGTGTCTTCTAACGCAACAGAATACTGTTTCTTTAATCAGCTAACCCTCATGCCATATCACAAGCTACTTTTTTAGTTTTAAAAAGCAGATTGCCATGTCATGGAGTTTTGAGAAAGCCAATCTAAAGCCCCCTTAAACTTAATGGAAATACTTCAACATTTCTTTGAATCTTGGCATTCTGCAAATGAGAAGATTAAATATAAATGTGGGCTAAATTATTTTGACAATGAAAAATACTAAGAACATTTACTTCTTCTCAGGACCTTCTACACCCATGGTACCATGGTGACTTTGAGGCATGATGGCACATTTCCTGCCCCATCTTTCACATGGTCATATTAATGCTGTAGTTCAGGAGTTTTCCATTATATCTGAGCCTTGCCTTGCTGGCATGATTACAATTCAGTTTATTCTTGACCTGCATTCTTGGTTTGGAAGGGGAACAAAAACAGGTTGCTGTTTCAGATGAATGGCAAACTACTCTGCATTAAAGTGCAAGTTATTAATTGACTTCAAAGTATGTGACGTGGAAAGGTTGAGGGCAAGCACACTTAACACCAGTCCACATTACGTCTAAACGACACCTGAGCCATAGTGTTGACCAATGGTTAAACAGCACTATCACTACTGGGACACATCAACAAGCTAACTTAGCAGTTACATTTCATACTTTTGACATCTGTAATAATCAGTATTGTTTCCTGAGCACTGATGGTTTGTGTATTTAAGAGCTTTCTGTTACTTAAATTTATTGCCACAGGGCCAAAATAGATATGACAGTGAAGCACTCTAGTTTCCCACACACACACCTTTTCAGGTGCTGAAACATCTGTAGAGAGTGGCCATTTCAGCCCAAGAGTATCTCAGCCAAATACACTGCAGGCCTGATCAGGATTGGACCCTTGCAGCATTCTTAAATGATTAGAATGGTGGCAGCAGTCTCATGGCAGCCATGATGACATCATTGTGTCTAATTTGGCCCACAGAAACGCTCATACTAGGAATTGAACAACATGCATGTATATTTATGTATTTACTTTATTCACAGCCTACTTTTCTTGCTAAGATTCACAGCAGGTTACAGAATAAAAACAGTGTGTTCATACACAGTCTTCCAATTAACAATGCAACAGTACAGAATTAAAAAACAAGGCAAACAACAAACTGCCTAAGGCAAGGTATACTATAGACAGCATAGTAGCTGAAGATCATATGCCTCTGTATTTGCTTGATCAGTTCCAGCATGGCTGGAATTTTTATTCCACTTTCAGTGTAAGCATAAAATGTTGAAAAACAACATCCTCAAAGCAGTAATTTAAGAATAAGTTACAGTTTGAAATATATTCCATTTCAAGGGATGTATTTTCATTGAACTAATTAGATTCTCCTGAAGCAGGGGACTTCCAGTGGCAAATGTATTTTCCATTCCTCTTGCAACAAATTGAAATGGAGATTAGGCCCCAGAACAGGTGTGTAAAGGCTTATGAAAAAATACTGTTAAAATGATTATGTCAGTGCAATCAGGCCAATGTCGGCAGTCAGTACCTCTTACATGGTGAGCCAGTAGCTTCACTGCTCTTCATTCACATGCTCCAAAACCAATATAGGTTGCAGAGACGTTATACGAAGATCATAATTTAATACAGCCCTGTTTAGCCCATGGACTAAGAGCCAAAATCTGACATATCTGTGTCCGGTAAGCCACCATGAACCAACTTTTTCTGGAAGGTATATGGCTTTGTATTATGTTTTGAAGTGATAAACCATTCCAATCAGTATTTTAAGCATTTTATGATCTCATTAAGGTCACTGAAGCCAGTTTTTCCTAACTTTACTAATTTGAGCTATAACTCAAGAACCAAGCAACCAGTTTCAAAATTTAAAGCATTGTTGAAGGCTAATGAATTCCCCTGCAAATGACTAATACTAATAATGCCTGTATCTATTACCACTTTAAAGATATAGGGCATAAAATCAAGGGGAAACTCAATTTTTTCATGGATTATTGCATATAATGTTTACCTATACCAGATAGTCACCTGAAGAATATTAGACAATCTTTTGCCTTTCCAATGTGTCACAGCATGAAGAATTCATTTTGATAAGCCATAGTTAGGCACATGAGAACTGATACAAAAATTATGTGATTTTTAGAAATTGTAACTTTGTGTTTCTGCTAAGAAACATCTTTTAGTTTTGTGAATTCTGCAACTGTTCAATATGCATATATTTTTATTTACAAATGTCATGCCGTCATTTCACAGTTGTTAAGATTTAATATTTTATTCAGCCTATTTTTAATGTTCATTACTGTGATCATCTTCTGAACGAAGATTAAGAAGTTTTGCCACCTCACCTGATATAAATATTTGGTCTGGCCAACAGACTAACTTTCCCGTGGGCAGGTATACAGGCAGCATAATAGTACCATAAGGAGAATGGGGCAGTCAATGCACACCTGCTGTATCCATCATCTAGTCCTCTGTCTGTGATCTGAAAATTACTTATGCTTTAAAGAACAAGTAACTTGCATTCAACAAATATTCGGCAATGCTCAAGTGGCAATATAAATAGACTTGGCACAGTTCCACTTGTGCAATGCATATTTCTTCCCTCCCTCTATACCAGGGGTGCCCAGCCTTTTTGAGCCTGTGGGCACCTTTGGAATTCTGACACAGGAGGGTGGGCACAACCACAAAATGGCTGCTGCAGAAGGCAGAGCCAGCCACAAAAAGTTGTATGCATAACTCTTAACAGTAATTCTTCAATGTTTCAGACAGAAGTTCTATTTAATAGGATGCCTTTTCAAATGAACGTATTTTTAAAAAATATTTTTTGCATACACAGCTTACCTTCAGCTGTGCAGCGATGACCCCTTGTGCTGTGGTGGTAGCTGCTGCCAAAGCAATGTTTTAAAAATCTGCCCTGCCAAATCAGATCTTCAGTGGCCAATCAGAAGATGTGCTGAGCAAAAACCATCTGGCCGCATCCACTTTTTAAAAACATTTGGTGGGTGCCAGGAACAGTCTCAGTGGGCATTTTAGTGGCCATGAGTACCTCACTGAGGATCCCTGCTATATAGTGCCCAAAATTGGTTGCACAAGATACAATAAATCTGACTTCGCACAAGTGGCTACTGTGGTCTATTTCTTGTGTTTCCACTTGTGGAGGAGCTCTAGCACAAGTGGAAATTTTGTGCCTACTTGTGGAGGAGCTCTAGTACAAGTGGAAATTTTGTGCTGTAACCAACCACTGGATGGAAATATGGGAGGTATGTACAAACCTCACATTTCCCCTGATGTGCTACTGCACTGCCAGCATTTGTGCCCATGTGCACATTTGTAAGAACCCTTCTGAAGAAGGAGATTTTCTACCATCTGAAAAGGTATAATTTGTCACACACTGTAGTTTTGCAGATTATGGTTATATACAAGACTCCTGCTCATTCTAGAACCTTTTTAGTTGCAGGCTTTGAAACTGTCAAGTTTATTAAGCATCTCCATCTTCCTAAGGGAAAATGTTAAATGATGTTTAAGGGTATCGATGGTGCAACCTCATTTGGAATACTGTGTACAGTTCTGGTCACCACACCACAAAAAGAATATCATAGCATTGGGAAAAGTGCTGAAAAGGGCAACTAGAATGATAAAAGGGTTGGAACAGTTAAAACGCTTGGGGCTCTTTAGCTTGGAGAAACGACGGCTGAGGGGTGACATGATCGAGGTTTATAAGATTATGCATGGGATAGAGCAGGTAGAGAAAGAAGTACTTTTCTCCCTTTCTCACAATACAAGAACTCATGGGCACTCAATGAAATTGCTGAGCAGTTGGGTTAAAACAGATGAAGTACTTCTTCACCCAAAGAGTGATTAACACTGCCACAGGAGGTAGTGGTGACTACAAGCATGGACGGCTTCAAGAGGGAATTAGATAAGCATATGGAGCAGAGGTCCATCAGTGGCTATTGGCCACAAAGTATAGATAGGAACTCTCAATCTGGGGCAAGTGATGCTCTGTATTCTTGGTGCTGGGAAGGGGGGCAACAGTGGGAGGGCTTCTAGTGTCCTGGCCCCACTGATGGACCTCCTGATGGTACCTGGTATTTTTGGCTACTGTGTGACAGAGTGTTGGACTGGATGGGCCACTGGCCTGATCCAACATTAGCTTCTCTTATGTTCTTATGTTATGTTCTTATGGTTAACTGGAAAAGAAAAAAGTTTGGTTGCTAATCAAGCAGAAAGCAAATACTTGTAATGATCACATGTTCTTATCTTTGTAGGCTTTCATATCGGACTGGTCAAGACACATCTAACTGTGATACATGCAGGAACAGTGCATGTATAATCTATAGGTAGGTTAATTCTTTTCCAACTGAAAAATCATGATTTTATTCCTTAGTAGGAGACTGAATGCAGGTCAGAATTTTAAATTGCTATTTCAGCAAGAAAGCACAGGAGATCAGGAGATTAATGCTTATGGCACTATACAATCCAATTTATAAAGTATTTCAAATACAAAAATTAAAGTTAAGTGAGATAGGAAGGCAGATGCGTATTAGGTGATTTTACTGATTAAATCTCAGAGACGCTTTATATATTACATTTTTGTCCCCACTAAAAACAGGTATCTTCAAATAATAGCACGGTATTCACCCCAGCTACCAATTAACATGCAGCCTGTTATCCATTAAAATATAAAATGTGAAGTAACCTTCAGAAACAGGAGGGAGTGGTTAGTGGTGAGTCTTCAGTGTCCTTCTCATAACTATTAGAAGAAGAATAAACTCTTAAAAATAAATGTTTGCACGTTTTTTAAAACTAATGCATAATTTATAAACCTTACTGAATTTGGAGTTTGATTGCCTTAATACAGAAGTTGAATTTTTTTAGCACAGAGTACACAAAGCTCTGGAGATGAATAATATATCTTTTAAATTTCTCAACCCTTAAGACCACTTGCAATTCTTTCCTTAGTAGGAGCATAAGTAAGATAGGACCAAATGGTAGCAAATGTGGGGGAACCTCCCACATACTGTGGTACTTTTGAACAGACAGGGAGGTGGAAACAGGAAGGACTCTTGCCAGTAATATTTCTGAATGACATGCAATGGACATACATAAGAATAAGCATGAAGTCTGAACACGTTGACCTGTTGGGCTCACATGTGTAGTACAAGACCACGTACCTTGACACTCTTGATGCTATCTGAGTACACAGCACAATTAATTCAGCATTAATTGGTACACTATCATTGAATTGCAGGAAGCCTATTGCTATGTCATTTGTTTTACTGTGTAATGTATGCCATTAAAGAAATTAGGTGCTCTAACTTCAGAAGCTCTTAAGTGCTGATTGGTTTCATTTCCACATAAGATTTAAGTGACAACAGCAGCAAATCAGACCTGCTGTACTCTTTATACATTTAACAGGGAGTTTTAATTGGTTTCTTTTAAGAGGTACTCTTTGGTATTACATGCCTTGTATATATACCAATAAAAACTAAATTAAAAATTAGCAATATCGTAAGACACGAGGACACCGGTAGACATTTGAGACTACTCCCATCAGATGATGCGGTACTACTATAACCAAAGAGGTTCATTCAATCCTTTTCCCTATCTACCACTTTCCCCCTGAAAAGCCTTCAGAGTTTTTACCCCAAGCTTGCAGACCTGTGTTTACAAAGACAGCACAGATCTAGAATTCACTGAGAGAGGGAGGCCTTGGCTGGGAATTTCAGGAGGAAACAGATAGGCTGCACAAGGTTTACATCCTTGCTCCCTTGCACCTGTCCATAGCAAATTACTCCAACACCAAGGGTGCTTTGTAGGGGAGAAGCAGCTGTTAGGCTTTTGTTATACATGGCTATAAGTAATACATACGTTGGACCTCAGCGGGTGAAAGAAGAGAACTACAACTATACAGTGACCACTTTAATTCATCTGGTATCTCTAATTATGTGGAGAGCCAGTAATCTGTAGCCTGCAACCCCAGAACATGCTCAGCACTACCAAAGACCCATGACCAACAAGTTTTACAATACAGTATCCTGACCCATTCTTTACAAAAGACAAAGTTTTATCCACATCTGCAATAGGCATTAAAAACCTATAATCATACTGAAACAGTGTTAATTTTTGATACTTTACACTGAAATAATAGCCCTGGCTACCTAGTCTTGTCAGAGCTTGAAAGATAAGCAGGGTCAGCCATGGTTAGTACTTGAATGGGTAACCACCAAGGAAGTCCAGGTTTGCTATGCAGAGGAAGTCAATGGCAAACCATATTTACTCCGAGCCTTGAAAACTCCATGAGTGGTTACCATAAGTTTGTTGTGACTTGATGGCACTTTATTATTTTTATTTCTCTAACTTGCCTAAATTAGATAAAATTTCTGCAGAACGTGTGTGTGTGTGTGTGTGTGAGAGAGAGAGAGAGAGAGAGAGAGAGAGAGAGAGAGAGAGAGAGAGAGAGAGCATTCCAAACATCAATTTATCTTATTTCTTTATTTACTTATTTAAATTTTTTAGGCTGCCCTTCCCTGCACGTAGGACTCAGGGTAGCTAACAACAGAAAAGGGATACAATAAACAATTAAATGTTTAAAAAACAACAGTTAATGCACAATATATACTACACCAATAATATGATTAAATCATTTCAAGATGGTGGTTGAATTGTTTGAAGATGGTAAGAATTTCAGTTTTCATATTTTCCTGGACCCCCCCCTGGGGGGAGGACTTGTGGAGACTGGAGGGTATGAGAGTGCCAGGGTACATGCTGTACCATTGCTGTCCTCAACCTAATGCCTGGCAGAACATCTCTGCCTTACATGCCCTGCAGAAAGGTAACAAATCCCACAGGGCACAGATGTTCTCTGGCAGAGAGTTCCACCATGTAGGCCGAAAAAGCCCTGGCCCTGGTCGAGGACAGCCAGATCTCTCTCGGGCCAGGACCACCAGGAGGTTCTTGCTTCCAGAGCATACTGCTTTTCTTGGGGTGTAGTGGGACAGGCAATCCTGAAGGTATGAGGGTCCCTGACCGCTGAGGGCCTTAAAGGTCAAACCCAACCCCTTGAACCTGATTGAGTGCTTCACCAGAAGCCAGTGTAGCTTGTGCAGCACAGGTTGGATATGTGCCATCCAGGGGGTCCCCATATAGACCTGTGTGGCTGCATTCTGGATCAGTTGGAGCTTCCAGGTCAGTCTCAGGGGTAGGCCCATGTACAGTGAGTTACAGTAGTTTCTCCTGGAGGTGACTGTTGCATGAATTACTGTGGGTAGGTCAGGGCAAGACAGGTAGCAAGCCAGTTGTCTGACTTGGCGCAGTTGAAGAAACGCCAGCCTGGCAACCTTTGTGACCTTGTGGCCTCCATTGATAAGGAGGCATCCAGAGTCACGCCTAAACTCTTGACAGTTGGTGCTGGTGTTCAAGGCACTCCATCAAGAGACAGGAGTTGGCAACACAAACATGGCTCCCCCCCCCCAGCACCTTTCTAACAAACTTGGTTGTAGTTTATGCTACAATGAAGTTTGTTAGTCTTAAAGGTGCTACTGGGCTATTTACTATTTTACTAAAACGGCTAACTCCTCTGGCTCTGTCTTATTAGGATTCAGTTTCAACCAACTCTGCTTTAACCACCCAACTGTTAACCACGGCCTCCAAACCCTCGGCAAAATTCACAGGAGTGGTGCCCAGTCGGCCACCCATCAATAGAAATAGTTGGGTGTCATCAGCATACTGGTGGCACTCTAGCCTGAAACTCTGAGCCAGCTGGGCGAGGGGGCGCATATAGATATTAAATAACATCGGGGATAGAAGTGCCCCCTGGAGGACTCCACATACTATCAGGTTCCTTGGGGACACCATCTCCCCCAGCGCCAACCTCTGTCCCTGACCATGGAGGAATGAGGTAAACTATTACAAGGACTCCAGCGTCAGCAAGGCATTGAGTCAGCAGATCATAGTTGACTGTGTTAAACGCTGCTGAGAGATTGAGTAATATCAGCAGCACCAATCCACCTTGAACCAGCTGCCTGCAGAAATCATCTGTGAGGGTGACCAGCAGCATTTCCATCCTGTGGCCAGGGCAGAAGTCGGATTGGAATGAATCCAAAACCAATGAGTCCTCCAGGAATTTCTGGAGCTGTTCTGCTGCCGCCCTCTCGATTACCTTGTCCAGAAATGAAAGATTCAAAACTGGGTGGTAATTGGCCAGATCCATAGGATCTAGCGTTTTTTTTTTAAGAGCGGGACAGCATTCTCTTGCCCATCAGCTTCATGTTATTTCCCGTTCCAAGGTTTTTTCAGATGTGTGTGACATTTAGCATGACCAAGCAATGACCTTATAACATGATTCCTCCAAAGACATACAAATGGAGGACTCCTTTGACAATGGTTTTCATGCATTATTGTTTTAGAATCTGACTGCAGCAAGATGTGATAAATACTAGTCTTTCTTCCTTTTGAAATCACTTAAAAACAAAAGCCCTTTTCTTTGGGGTTTTGTTTGTTTGTTGCTACATGCATGCATACATAATGACTTTACTGGAGGGAGAAGAGGCGGAAAAATGAGCTGGGATAATGATAAATGAGGGGGGCATGCAATGGTGCAGTTTCCCATACAGTTTGAAGTTGTAAAATCCCAACAACATTGTACTTCTTCATCTGTAGTGTGTGTAAATTAGGACTAACCTTTAATTCAGTCTCCACAAAACATGCTCAAGATAATTACTTCCTAAATGAAAATCTAAGTAGCTCAGGGCTACCAAAGATGTTCTTAAGTAAACTCCCACAATAATCATATAAACGCTGTATAAAATAAGAGGAAACTGTCAGTAGAATGATACCATGTTTTAACAAGAGAGTTTTCAGTGGATTTGGAGGACACTGAATATCCTGGTGATCCAACATAATAAGGTTCAAATATAGCATGAAACATTTAAGGTAGGGTTCATCAGTGTTTATAAGATGGGTACAAATTCTGCCACATATTTATCTTTACCTTCCCCCAACTCAATTAAGACATCACATGAAACCATGATTTAATTAAACTAACTGTGGTTAGTGTAACTATCCAGATGCAGGCCATTCTACTAACTGTGGTTAGTTTTAGGGTATGTCAGACTAGACCTGAAACCACAGTTTGAACTTGGTTTATTTATCACAGTTAGCTGACTTAGTGATGGAATGCAGCCATCTTGATGTTCCCTGATGCCCCCTGCCCTGCAATAACAGGCTGGGATGCCAGCAGGGTCTCAGCAAAGGAGGCAGGGGAAACAACAAAGCCAGTAAAACCAGCATTTGATGAGATAAACCAGGGTTTGAATTATTGTCTCTGAGCTAAATCCTT